GAAAATTTACACTAAGAGAAACTTTTGTTACATATTACTATATATATTGATTTTTTTTAACATCTCTATTTCTTAAAAATTAATAATAATTGAAAAAAATGCAAAAATGCCTAACGCGATATCTGTACCACATATCTTTCAAAGCTCGTTCTTTGAAACAGCTTCATAGATCGCAAAATCTTTTTACAGGAGTAAAGTTTAGGTACTAATGAAGGGTGGGATTGTAAAATAATTAGTAATAATTGAAAAAAATGTAAATATGTCTAACGCGATATCTGTACCACATATCTTTCAAAGCTCGTTCTTTGAAACGGCTTCATAGATCGCAAAATCCTTTTACAGGAGTAAAGTTTAGGTACTAATGAAGGGTGGGATTGTAAAATAATTAGTAATAATTGAAAAAAATGTAAAAATGCCTAACGAGATATCTGTATCATACATCTGTCCTGGTTCGATTGCTGTGTAGGAACCAGACAATGTAGCCAACCCCGAAACTGCCTACAGCTGCGTGCGCCATCGCGCCATCTCTCGCAAGATCCGTGAACTACTGCTGTGACATAATTGCTGCTCTGCGTGAATATTTTTGTGAAAAATATACACGATCGTTTCAAAGCTCTCATTTTTATTCCAGGCTTTCAATCTCAATTTCAAAGGTACGTTATTGTTTGTGCACGTCTTCTGAAGGGTGGGAAAGTTTAATTTCGTACATATTACGTATACAACTGTTTATATCAGAAAATAAGGTTATGAGGTAACAGCATTTAAAAATTTTTTTTAATTATTACTAATTATTTGACAATCCCACCCTTCATTAGTACCTCTACTTTACTCCTGTAAAAGGATTTTGCGATCTGTAAAGCCGTTTCAAAATAAGAGCTTTGAAATGAATTGTCGGTAATTTGGACGGCTTTAGCATCCCCTTAAGGTTGTATGACCCCTTAGAAGAAAAAATGCCAAATTCTTCAAATTTTGTCAGGTGATGAGTATTATAATAATAAAGCATTGTGCCAAGTTTGAACAAGTTTGCGAGGCCCGTTCAAAAGTTATAACAATTTGAATTTAACATGGGCTCTTATGGGAATTCATCAAGTTTCACTGTTTTTTCAACTTCATTTGAGAAATTAATATCGAAGAAAATATGGCATCCTTTTAAAACTTTGCAGAAATATTAATAAACATCTTACAAACAAATTAGAACCAAAAAAATTATGACTTCGTGGATATTTTCTGAAATATTGAATAAAAACCAAACAGAGAACAGTCTCGCTTGGTCTCACTGAACTCGTAAGTACAGAGATCCGGCAACAGCGCACTATGACGTCACATTAGAACCTCCTCTCTCCGTCACTCTCCGTAAAGGATAACAAATACTACAGAGGTTCGTTACTTTTTCCAATAGAGCCTCTCCCCAGTAAAACAGGAACGTGGAATCCACGTTTCTTTCATGTGGACCAGCAACGTAGAATTCACGTAGACAATCGAGTGGATCATCCGCTTAAAAACGGTAGTCGGATCCACGTGGATGAGATCATCGATTCGACGTGGAATTTACGTGAAAGTTTCACGTCTTAATATTTTGGCGAGTACTGGGCAGTACTGGATTACTGGTAGTAATTTATTACACAGAGAACTACTGGTGCATAGTATTGAATTATACTCACCCAAAAAAACCTCTTAATACTAGAGGACACTGATTTCCAATATTCACCCAACATAAAAAAATTATTTTTATCGAAATTTTATTACTATTTTATAACTAAATTTGTTTTTTAAGATGCAGTCTATAATTATAAATATTTTCTCGAATTTAAAAACACATATAAAAACACACTTACCTTGATGGGATTCGAACTCGGGACCTCTGGATCGTGAGCCAACTGCCTTACGTGGTAGGCTACTTCTTAATTTGATGTAAGTGTTATATATAGTCTACATATGTCATAACCAGCGCAAATATATAATTTTTCAAAAATCATCTTAAGAAACAAATTCAGTTTAAAAATTGATTATTATTATAACACATAACTTTTGTATTTTTACGACATAATAAAATTCTTCAATTTTAAAATGTCTTACTATCATTTTCATTAATTATTTATTAAAACGTTCCATTTAGCTATATTAATTGCGATTGACAACATCAATGTCTCCTGAGATTGATAAATTATCTGTCAGTAGAACAGTGAAAATATCTACGCAAAATCTACATTGATACTACGCGAATGAGATACTTTGATTTTATCGATGGAAAAGAAACGTTGAATCCACGTGGATAAGGTACTTCGATTTTGGCGATGGAAAAGAAACGTTGAATCCACGCGGATAAGGTACTTCAATTTTGGCGATGGAAAAGAAATGTTGAATCCACGCGGATAAAGTACTTCGATTTTGGCAATGGATAAGAAACGTTGAATCTACGTGGATAAGGTACATCGATTTTAGCGATAGAAAAGAAACGTTGAATCCACGCGAATAAGGTTCTTCGATTTTGACGATGAAAAAGAAACGTTGAATCTACGTGGATAACTTGTGGATGAATCTCCATCCACGTATTACGTAGATTCGACGCAGATGCGACGTACCTGTTTTACTGGGGCTTGTGTATCGAAAGTGTGCTCCATGTGCTCTGAGCACGTGTAATATACAAACGCATCGTTTGAGGTTAGTTTTCGCTTGCGCTACGAAAATGCCGAAAGTAAAACGTTACATGTGGAAAGGAAAAGTTGTCACTAAAAAAGTGTACAATCAACGGTTAGCACAGACAAATACTGGGAAACGTAATTTGAAGACACGAGTCGAAACCACACCAGATGATTGTAACAATTCCATGGCACATGTAACGTTTTACTTTTGGCATTTTCGTAGCGCAAGCGAAAACTAACCTCAAACGTTGCATCTGTATATTACACGTGCTCAGAGCAGTAGAGCACACACTTTGCGTTCACGCAGCTGATGTCGAGCGAGATCAATGCTACCAACTTACAGAAAATGCGACGTTGTCGCGATCAAAATACTTTTTTATGAGAGCTATTGTATTTAATTTATTAATAAATGACGTAAATAAATAACGTAATATAATTTCATTAGTATTTTTAAATAGTAATTACTATGTTTTGTTACTTTTTAAAGATTTTCACACTTTCAGATTTTCGTTTGTGTCAGTTGCAAGTCAGGTACAGTCTTTCTAAAAATCATTAAAAGTGAAAGTTTGCATACGAGAAAATATGCCTAAAAATGTCTCTATAGCTCTTAAAAACACAGGCAACCGTTATTTTAATAAAATATTAATATAAATATTACTTTCCAGTAAAGAATATCTTCTTAAATATGTTAATTAGCTTTATGTTACGTTTCTTAAACTTTTGGCAGAGATCTTACGGGTCATACAACCTTAAGTCGTAGAGTGCTCGGGCCCTCGAGGAAGTCGAGTATTGTGTCGTGCGTTGGGTAAGGCCGTAGAGTCGTCGGGATTGGCGCGATGCCGCGGAATTGCCGGGTTTCGCGAGGAATCTTGGGATTAGTGTAGCTAGCCGCGGAATCGTCTGCGATTCAGGCTATTTTGTGCTTGGGGATATCCGAGGCGAGGACGATCGTCTGCCGTGATTCGGCAAGGCGAGATCGCCCGCCGGATGTAGGTATCAATTGCGAGGACGACCGCCTGTCGGCAGGGCCGACACGGCGAGATCGCCCGCAGCTATTGTTGTATGGAATCGTGGTGGCCTGAGTAGGGTCGGTGCACCATTTGTAGCCACTGCTTCATTTGTGGCCACTTCGACGAATCTTTCAAATTATTTAGTTAATGATTTATGTTCGCGCTACGTAAATTGAAGGATTTTGTTTTTACGGTATTTGTGTTGGTCAAGCTACCCGCCAATGCAGAGTACAGAATTTGTTTTATGAAAAAACTACGGTTTATATAACCAAAGAGTGTGAACTGTTGCATTTTCTTGTGGAAAACGTTAAGGATACGAAGTAAGTTAAACGTTATAATAATTGTGTAAAATACATAATTGTGAGTAATGTTTGTGTAATTGGCTTGCGGAAAGTCTAAAAATTGACCTCAAAATGCATAACTACGTATTTGACTTCTATTTAAAAAAAAAATAATGAGTGTCGAAAACTAGATCATGTATTAATATAATTCTCCATTTTTGGCCATGAGATGGCCAGAACTGGTTGTTGCAGTGTTCCAGTTGTGGCCAAATAATCATCCAGTATCGTTATTATTCGTGTAGGTGTACCTAATGCCTATACGACGTACGTATAACTATTTGAAATACTTATACACCGTTGTTATTGACCGAGATTGTTGTGTATCCATGTCTGGAGGACAAATTAGGTAAGTTAAATATGCCAAATACATTATATTTTTATCGTTTATAATTTGCAACTGAAATGTCCATGAACCGCATGAAAATTAAACAATGATGACCGCATTAAATTTAAACAATGATTTAACTAATAATATTCAGGAAATTTGTACAACGCAAATATCAGTAATCTCAAACAGCAGAGAAGAAACTTTGAAAAACATTTTAGTTTATCCTGAAGTAAAAAAGTCATAAAAAAAAAAAAAAATATATATATATAAATAAAATACAATTACTTTCAGTGATTACAAGTGATCGCTGGTTACAGTTAAAAAAACAAGAAGAGAATAAAAAGCGATTATTGTTACAGCAAAGACAGAAAGAGAAAACAGAATTAACGATAAAACAAGAAGAAAATTTAAGAATAAAAGCAGAAAGAAAAGAGAAATAGAGAAAAAAAAACAACGAGAGAAGGAAAAAAAAGGATGAAATGATTGCTAAAAAATTACAAACTGCTAAGGTAAATGTCCCTATGGCCGACACCTATAAAGGTGGAAGCACATAAAATTGCAGGAGCCATGAGCAGAATGCAGAAGCCATATGCGCATGTGCTGTGGTATCTGTAGAGCTCTACAAATACCATAGCGCATGCGCATATGGCTTCTGCATTCTGCTCAAGGCTCCTGCAATTTTATGTGCTTCTACCTTTAGGCCGACCCAACAAAAGAATGGCGTTGTCAAGCGTGACAAAAATAAATTCGATAAAGAGTTTCATACTGGTGGATAGCTTCATCCATGCACTTTCCAAAAATCGTAGGCTCAATCCATTCCGTCAAGTATTTTTCTAGATAGAGAAGAATAAAGGCGCACTAGTGCGTGCCCCCTCTACCGACCAGCTGTGTCCAATTCCGACCGGGCATGTCCCCATTACCGATTACCTTTTTTCAGAGCATGCGAGGCGGAGGTTTCAAACGAAAAGTAAACATAAAAATGAACATAAATCAATGATAAACATAAAAAATACACATAAATCATGAAAAGGTATTTTATTTTAATTTGATGATATCAAACAATCAATATCAAAGAGGTTATCGCTGACTTGAACGATAAAAAGAATTCATAGATGATCAGATATGTAAAGAATAAGGAATATATATTGAACGATTATATAATCGTAACATAACATCACGAAATGCTTTTCGTTCGTATACTATGCATATATTACATTTATTTATAACACACGATCTCCACAATACAATAGATATAATTAATGTATGCTATTTAATAGATATATCTTAAAAGTAGATGCATTTTGCAACCGGATGAATGTTACATAGTTATATTAGCTAACTTTCTTTACTTTGACATTTTTTTTTCTTTAACTGCTCTTGCCGTTTCCTCGCCTTTTCTTCTCGTTCCAAGCGTTTCCTTTCTTTTTCAGCTTCGATGATACTGACGTTTACGTGTACGGTACTGGGGACATGCAGGCGTTTTGCTGTGTCTAACCTTGACCATCGAATAAATAAAAAAAATGATAGTTTTTGACTAATTTTTTTTTTCGAATATAGCAATCAAACTGTAACAAACCATTTAGCGCTCGAATTATTCCTTACAAAAGGATTTTGAACGAAATACGGACTATTTAGGTGACCGACAATTCTTAACCTCACTCTTAAGAATACGCGTGGATGGTGACGTGCGGCAAGAAATGCGAAAAAAAAATATATCTAACTATTGTACTTACTCTGCACGTTATAATTCTTTTGTACTGCACAAATTCCGGAATTTTTCCACTCCACTAATGAACGTGTTGTTGAATCGGCAGCCTCGTAAACAACGTTTCATGTCAAAAATGTCGGTAGAGGGAACATGGTCGGCCATGGGGACATTTACCTTAATAAAACAAGAAAGTCTTAGAAAAGAAAAAACTCTAATAAATGAATTATTTTAAACTGCTCGGGCGACGTTTAAGCGTTTCCCGGATTAGCAAATTGGTGCGAATTACGTGACTCGAAGGATCAGAGGAGGTGTGTATCGTCTCCCCAAAGCGAATTAACGAAATTAAGCAAAATGCGACTCACCGTTCGGGAGGCCGTCGTCTCCTGGAGAATTTGTCTCTCTAGCAAGCTCGTAGGCAGCATGCAAGGCAGCGCAGCAAGCAAAGGCAGCAAGGCAAGGCAGGGTGGCAAGCAAGGCAGCAAGGCAAGCAAAAGCAGCGAGCAAGGCAGGCAGAGAAAGCGTTCGCACTTCCGGAGAGCGAGCTCTGTGTGGCCTCTCGGATGTTCGAGTGTGCACGTATAGCGTGTGCACCCCGAGACGTCGTGACGATGAGTGAATCGTGCTCGCGGCGCTGGAAAAGTGTCGCGAGCGAGTACTTGCTCTTTCCTCCTGCGGGTGCCCTCGTGGGGTGAACGAGGGCAGCACCGATTGGTGAGTCGCGAAAATATCGATTTTACGCGTCGATCGTGATCCGCCGCGGCGCCGACATTTCGCGTGAGTCACCAAAAATATGCAAAACTTATAGGTACTGGAAAGACTATTATATACAGCGAATATGAACATAAATGTGACTAGACTAATGACTACAATATATACAATGTGGCGAGCGCCAAACATAAACAATGTTAATTTTTTGATATTTTTATTTTACAATTTTATTTAATATTTTATTTTACAATTTTAATTAAAAAAAGTTAAGTTACTATTGATGACGTATAAACCTTCATAAAATACATAAATTTTTTAAATTCTCGATATTAGTTGATAGAAGTTACGTATGATATGCTATATATATATAAATAAGTTATAATGTTTATTATATATACCTATTTATTAATTGTTTAATTAGAAATTAACTTTAGTTTCATTATGTGGCCAAAACTAGTACTTATTGTGACGAAAACTGGTATTTCGGTGGCCAAAAACGGTGAAGTCGGAACTTATGATATAATTTTTATTTTTGAAACATTTATTTAAGTTTATTTGTTTGCCGCAATCTTAAGTTTCTTATTTAAAAGATTCTTAAGAACATATTAAAGTACTAAAAAACGTTACATAACAAAAAGAATTTAATTAAAACGCATTTATTTCGTCAAAAATCCTTAAAGTGGCCACAAATGGTGCACCGACCCTACAACAGATTTAGAATTGAATAAATTGCGACTGGTTTGGTGCACTTTTTGTAATTTTATTATATTTTTAAGTTTTTCCAAAGTTTCAACTTTTACTAATAAAAAGGTTTTCCAGGCCAAACGGTAAGAGATACAAGGTTGGCCAAGAGGACCAAAGTTGCTCCTCTCGTCGAGTTCTATAAGGAAAAAATGCAAAAACTAAAAAAATTAATTTTTAATTTTTTTTTTTACTTTGAGGCTCAGTATCTTTATTTTTTATACCGGAAGAGGTACTGAAATTTATACCACGCATAAAGCACACCTAAATTAACGTATATTCACAGTTTCAAGAAAATCCTAAGAAAATCGATTTTCTCTAGTATAAGGATAAGAGAACGTCCTTAAGATTTGGTTGTTTATAGTTATTGAGCTATAACCGTTTGAAATTACGAGGAATCCGTAGATAGGAAGCAAAATGTGCAAGTTTCAAATTTATACACTTTTTTATTATATATTGGCAATTTTTATATATTTTTATTGATCAATCTTTTCTACCTCTATTTTATATATAATTCTTTAACAAGCGGTTGAGATTTGATATATAATCTTTAAGGGTTAAAATTTTATAATATTGGAAATTTTTCTAATTTTATTATATTCTTCAGTCTTTTCTACCCCTATTTCATATATAATTCTTTAAAATCTTCAATTTACAGGAAATTAACATTGTTTGAACTCTAAAGTTCAAATTTTAACGAAAAAGTAATGTTTAAATTTCTAATTTGCACGATTAATTCTCAATTTACACGAAATTAATTGTCTGGATCGTCCCTGGATCTTGGCTTAATTGTCCGGATCATACCCCGATCTTGGCTTAATTGTCTAGATCATGCCCCGATCTTGGCTTAATTGTCTGGATCATGCCCCGATCTTGACTTAATTGTTTGGATCATACCGATCTTAGATCATGATCCGATCTAGATAATTAAGCCAAGAATATAATAAAACTATAAATAGCCCGATATTTCAAAATTTGCCACACATATTTCTAAAAAAAGTATGTATCTTTGATCGCGTTTAAAAATGGATCTAATCAATCAAATCTTAAAAAATTATATATAAAATAGGGGTAGAAAAAACTGAAGAATATAATAGAATTAGAAATAGATCAATATCTCAAATATTGAGAAAGCTACAGCGTAAAACACACATTTTTCTAAAAAACGAAAATTCCCTTAAAATCCATACCGGTCGACGGATTTTAAGAAAATTAAAGAAGAAATTAAAGAAGAAATTTCTATGATACTCTATTTGTGTGCAAAATTTCAACCCGATATCTAAAAAATTGTAGAAGTAGATGCGTGTACAAAAATCCGTACACACATACATACATACTTCCGGATATTTTCTACTAATATAATTTCTCGACATTTTGGAACATTTTAAACCTATTTTCATCAAAATCTCGAAAAAAATTTTTATGTCACACGTGCATGGAAAGTGGCCCATTCCGCGTGTGACACGCGCGCAATGGGCCACTTTCCACGCACTTGCAACATAAAATAGGGTGTGTAACACGTGTGTTAAGTTGAAAATTGGACGTGCGGGTGGATCGCACTCGCCTCCGGCTCGTGCGTCCACTCCGCACGTCCAATTTCCATCTTACAGCACTTGTTACACAAATAACTATTTCACCATCATAAAGCTTTCTCTATGAGAAAGCAATAAGAGTAACCCTTCAAAAGTAGAGATTTCAAGCTTTAAAATTCTTTTTTTATATTTAAATTTCGTTCATTTTTAACAAAGTTACAGCTGCTTGAATTTTGCCTATTTTTAAAGAAAGTGTTCCTTTAATTTTTGTGAGAAGTGTATAATGAGCATTAATCAAAAATCTGACTCCAATGCACCGATTATATTAGATTAATTCAGTCTAATAGTTGTAACAGATTCCACAAAAACACAAGCATTGCACGCCAATGCTTGTCGAGCACTGAGAACATTTCTTAACAAGTTTACGCAGCTATTCTGCGTGATAACCCCGGTAATACATAAACCACGTAATATTTATCGTCGTATATATGGTATATAAATATTATATATCGAGATATCACTAGCAGTATACTGCTGGACGAGTGAATTGGAATTGTCGATTGTAGTTTGTCGTCGAAAGATGTATAGAAAACACGTATAGGAAAAACGTATATAGAAAATTCGGAAATCATGAAACAAATAATACTATTTTTTAACTTGTTTATCACCATTGCGTGTGTAAGTAATCTTATAATATGTAATATATAATTAAATGTGTAATATATGTGTACATATAATTTAAGTGACATCAAGTCACAGCAATATTATCATCAATTAGGACAAATAAGATAAAGTTTTTATCAAAAATAAATATACGAGAAATATATATGTAGAGAGAAAATGCTTTTATCATAAGGAAATCTTTCTTGTGACAGAATTTTGTTATCTTTTTATAATAATGTTTTAAATTTTAATTTTATTTTTCTAAAATTTTTTTTACTAATTTTTTATTAATTTATTTAATCTTAATATTCTTAAAAATGATATATTATCTTTTAATTTTATTTTTATTAAAAATGGTTAAAATGTAATTTATATCATATATCATCGTATCAATAATCTGATATATATGTATATTAATGTATTACACATGGTTAATACCATTATTTATTCTGTCACTTAAATTTCTACTTATTTACTATTACTCATGACTCTCTGTATTTATTATAGGCAATAGATCTTAGTGATGATGTCACGGACAAAATAGCAGAGCTATTATCGATGTCGAGAATGGATGTAGAAATCTGCCGGAATAAGACAAATACAAATATTAGTAAGTGTGTTCAGCAAAAGTTGTATGTGTTATAAGATTAAATATTTCTGCGTCCCTTTTACTTTCTGTTACAATTTATACAGTACATATGCACGATTGCATGCATGTTTAATATTGTACTTATTTATTTAATATTAATTTTATTTTTATATAGTTTATTTAAGGCATGCAATTTGTTATGTAATTAAAATTAATAGTATAATTAAAACATAAATGCTTGCGCATTATTAAATAGCTCTAATATCATAAATCAAATTACTTTGTATGCATTTTATATCTTTTAATAATATGTAACTGTATAAGACGTCTCAATTTTAAAACGTCTTTCAAACATCCTATGAGATGTTTTAATGTTCTCTGAATTATTATGCGTACATATACATATATGTATATAAAGTGAACCATTTATAATGTTAAAAACAAATATCTCATAAGATATATGCTTTCCATGAAAAATGTTTTAGACAAAACTTATTGGGAATCAAAAGGGACACAAGATGACATTATTCACCATAGGTGGCGCTACTATAAGTCAAACAACGGGCAACTTAAATTTTTTAATGGAAATTATATTTTTTATTATTTTATATGGAAATAGGGCTTAACTTTAGAAGGCTACTCCCCTCTGATTTTAATTAAATTTTACAGGTACGTAGTACTTACTAAATGTAATCGAATGTCACAAATGCAAATGTACGAAAACGTATATAGTTTCCAAGGTATTCAAATTTTAATTATCTAGCTAAACTATCTGGCTTAATTATCTGGCTAATGAACAATTTTAAGATTTCTACGTAAAAAAATGGTAATTATGATAGCAGAGATAGGAAGTTCACTTTCAGTTTCAATAATTTTGAAATATGTTATCAAGATCATCACATAGAGTAATATTGTAAAAATTGCAGCCGGTGCTCGTTGTTCATTAAGAAGAAAATATTAACAAATATAACTGAGAATAGTATATTGTGCACCAAGGGGCGAAAGTGCCCGGGGTGCACACGATATTTTTCACAATATCTTTACGGAAAGTTCGACCTCCATACCTAGAGAGAGACGAGAGTGGCCATTTCACGCCAGGACGGCATAGCGGGCGGAAAGTAATCACAGGCATGGAAAGTCGAACTTTCCGTGGAGATGTTGTGAAAATATAATTTTTAACATGTTAGAAATATAACATATCAGCAAATTACTTCCCTTAGCACTGACACAAACTATTATATTTCTTAAACTTTTTTGTTAATAACTTTTTAACAAATAATAACCGCCGGCTAAACCGTTCAAAGGTACTCAGAGTGATGACTTTAAAACATATCTGAAAATTATTGCAATTGGGAATGGCTCTCTATCTCTGCATAATTACCAAAAAAAATAATAGAATTTTAAAATATTTTGCTAAAATGTTTTATTTTATTAGTGTATTAGAAAAATGTATAACGTATAGCGTTATCAAAATCTCTATCTCTATCTTTATAAAAATGAATGTATGTATGTTTGTTCGCAAACTCCTCCTACATTAATGGACAGAATTTTTACTAAAAATATATGAAACAGGGGTAGAATTTCCCGGGAAGTGTCATAAAGTGTATAGTTTTTTGTTACCAATTTTCTGGAAACCGGTTTTTCTAATTTTTCTAAT